AGACAAGGCAAGTGAAACTGAAAGGAAGGGAAAAAAACCATTTACAATGGAACAATGCATGTACTAATCGCTTTGATATATTATACAAACCCAAAGACCCAAAACATTGTGTAATTATTTATAAATGACTTCTCCACTCCTGTGTATAATACCACAGAAAGAATAAAACTGCAGGCTACTCTCTAAACTATTTCTAAATAGACCTAGCTCAAAAGGAAGCAGAAGTGTTTGAAAAAAAATAATTAATGGTTGATTTTATGGTTGTCTCATTAAAACATTTTAATTACAACAAACAAAATACATTTGTGCTTGCAGGGAACAATCGTTTACCAACTCAAACCCCCCCTTTCAAAGAGAAGCAAAATGTTACATCACATGTTTAAAACCTGAAAATAAAGCATTCCCACTATTTCTGCAGATCCCCCAGGAGGGGTTGAGCCCTGGCTGCAACTCCCAGGCAACTTCTGCAAATCCTGCAACTTGTGCAGGGTTTCAGGGAGGATTTGGCTCGCTGGGCCAGGAGCCCTCTGCTGCGTGGGGACACTCACTCCCTGTGATGCCCCTGTGCTCCCCACCCCAGGCAGCCCCTGGCACACAGCCCGAGGCCTCACACTGGCCACAGGCAGGTAGGAAAAGAGGCCAAATCCTTTACAGAGCCCTTGAGCTGCTCCCAAGGTGCTTCCCTGGCAGGAGAACTGGCTCCTGCTGCAAAAGGGGTTAATGCAGCCTCCCTGCAGGCTGAGATCCCTTTCAAATACTGGGTTCCAGGGCTGCCCATTAGGGAGCAGCCAGAGCATCAACCCCTGAACCCCCCGTGGGCCTCGGGCTGGGCACTGTGAGGTGACCCCAGCAGGTGGAGGGTCCCAGGAGCACAGCACTGCGTGTCCATCCCTGCCCTCACAGCCCTCACCCCACATCTGTCCCACACCACGCTGGGCAGACACCACTGGGCTCTGCACCATGTCCAGACAAGCACCAGGAGACAAGCTTCCCACTGAACCATCTCCTGGTTTTCTACCTGCTTTTAAAATCCCTGCTGCATCCCCCCAGCATCCCCGGGGGTGAGGGAGCAAGATCCTTCCTTTACTCCTGCAAGGCACCGGGTCCAGCTTTCTGCTCCAGTGATGGCTCTGCCATCAGCCCTGTCAGCTCTCCAAATTTGGTTCAAGCACTCTCCACAGGCAGCTCTGCCTCCTCTTTCTGGCCATGCTTTCAAACAATGAGGGAGCAAAAAAGCAGTATTCTCCTGGTTCATTTGTTATTTTGCCACTCATCCCAAGAACTCATCATTAGTTCAAGACCTCTTGTAATAATGGAACAAAAGAGAGTATGCTGAGTTGCTGTAACGATGTGAACTTTAAGATCTGAAAAAAATTATGTACCTCTAACTTCTCTGAAGCATTCCAATTGTAGGAGCAGTTTTACTGTCATTTCCAGCTGCTCACTTCCATGCTTGAAGAGTGATGCTAACACTGGTCTAATGACCAAAATTCTGGTTTGGTTAGAAATGTAAAGCTGAATAACATGGATTTTTATTTACTTTTACAGGGTACAACAAACATTCACCAGGGAATGGACTTCTCATGGACTGGCTTTTTCCTTGAAGGAATAGTGCATTCTGAGAGCTGCAGGGAGCCTTGTGGCACATTTTCTCCAAAAGCTCTTCCTCCATCTTTATTCATCAATTCCTACTTTTTCTGGAGCCCAGCCATGAGTGAGACCCTACACATGCTGTCTCAACATGAGGGCAGAGGAGCAAGCTTCATGCTCGAGGTCTTAGAAGTGTTAAATGTGCTGCATGGAAGTGTACCCATGACAATTTGGATTTTGGATGAGCAGTTTGTCATCATTTGTAAGTCAGGATGGGCTGATTCAGATGCACTTTTGCAGTTTTCATAGTAAAAATTACCATTTGAATATTTTTTCCTCTCACTTTTTTTAAGTGCTGTCTCTCAAAGAAAATGATGAAGTGTTTCTGAAAATTTCCTTTGAATTTAAAATATGAAATTAATAGCATCCATGAGTGCAGCTGAGCCCAGCTACATTTACATTAAGGTGGAAAAATTGATATCAAAGTCTAAAACTCAGAATAAGGCCATCCCATCAGTTAGATGCTAGCAACACACTGTGTGTTTCTTGAAATCACTAGTCCTGTTTAATTTTGGAATTTTTTATTTTCCTGTCCCAGAAAACTTCACATAACTTCAGCAGCTGACTTCCATAGGAGCAGGCCCATAAGGTGTAGGAGCTATTATCTGTGTTGGCTGAATAATTTATCTGCAAAATTAGTAGACTGCCTGTGATAGAACTGGTTGAATTATTCATCGGGAATAAATTATCCGAGATATTTAGCACTTCTTTCTGTTTGCGAAGGCTTCCTGAAACAATTCTGGTTCTGTGAATGCATTCGTTATTCATAAGTACGCAGTGAATAGATTATGCAAACAAATTTCAGCCTATGGGTTGTTTGTGAAACATTCACTTCAGCCCTGGCTATTCATGGCTGTGACTGATCACAGAGACACATGGTGCTCTCTCCCCTCCTTGATTGGAGCACAAACTTTTAAAACAAGAGAATAACAAATGACAAACTGCAAATGATGGATAAGGACTAATGAATAATGCGCTTTCACTGCAAACTTTCAGACAAGTGATCGGTTGTGCCAAAGTCTGTGGAACTCTAGGGAATCATAAACATTTTAATGAATAAACTATTGACTGCTCAAAGACAACTAAACAAAAGACAATAAAAGTGTTGCAGACAACACTGGAGTTTATATCACTATATATAAAATGCACAGTAACAAAAGTTGAACGCTTTTTGCCATATGCTTCCATAACCTTTAAATTTTGGGTCCCTTCTGGCTTTCTCCTTAGTGCTGGAAACTCCGCCGTCGGTCTCTGCCTGCTGACAGAGCCCTCTAATTGTGCCGTCACTTAAGGACATGAGTAACTCAGTGAAGTGGAACTGCTTAGCGCAGAAAGTCACTTATGTATGCAGAGGCCCTAAAAACATCAGCCTGATTGCAGGTCCGGTGATTGAGAGAGCCCAGTCCCTGTCGGGAGCAGCCTGCCCCCCCTCCGTCGCCTGCCGTACCTGGGAATATTGCACAGCCCCGGTCTGCAAGCGGATAAAGACGTAAAAAGCAGAAAGCGAGCTGATCCTGCAAGCTCGGCCACTGCCAAACTACTTCTAGATTGAGACTCGTTAATATTCATCACCCAGGGCTTTTTGGATTGCTCACTTCTGTGCGTGATCTTCTTGGCACAAAGAAGGTTGTTTGTGGCAGTTTGCTGGTGTCGTGGGTCATCGCAAAGCGAGGAGGAAAAACGGAAATAATTCTCATAGAATTCCTCGCTCAGGTTCAAGTAAAGAATGGTTGCTAAGAACTTTAAATGCAGAGATATACAATTATTTATGCTGTCATTTTTCCCTGTTTATAAAAGATAAAAGTCAAATAAGAAAATCAAAGGAGGGGGGATCAATCTACATTTTGTGTAAGGGGAAATCAGGTAAATACATGTGGATTTAGGCATAGGCACCTGAAAATGGCTATTGATGGGAGGTGAAACTGAAAACCTTCGAGGGACACAAGTACCTGAGTGCTGACAATGGGGCTTCTTCCAAGCAGGGAGAGCAGGATGCAAAGAGCCAGATGTCAGAATCAGGAAACTTTTCAGCCACTTACAAAACTCTGGCTTCCCAAAATGTGAGATAGCGATACCCAAGTACTGAATGGGGGCTAGCAGAAGCAGCAAGAACTTTGCAATCAAAACAGCACAGTTCTTTGTTTTTATCCAGATAAAGAAGAATTTTATCTGTGCATTGCATATGCAGTGTGTATATGTGTATATACAGTGTATATATGCTGTGATTGCAACCATCAAAGCTTACAAAATAAATGTTCTTTGGAATTTTTAACTTTCTGAACACCTGCAAAATCCTTTTCAAAGAGAAGCGCGTGAAAGCCAAAGCGCGTGTTGACATTCACCTGAGAAACGCGGGAGGGGAATATCCGCTTTGAGTTTTATCATTTTAGAGCATTTTCACTTTGCTGCATGTAGAAAAACCGCAAGGTGCAACGAAAACCCGACAAAATCTTCCGCCCGCATCTGGCTGGGGAATAACCCGCGGCTCATCCTCTGGAAACCCAGATTAACCTTTTTCTTTCCCCAAGCCCCCTGCTCGCAGCGGTTTAAACTCACGCTGGAGCCCCTCCGGCCGGAGCGGGACGGTGACCCCTCCACCCCGCGCTGAGCCGCGACCCCCCTGCCCCGCTTTGTCCTGCCGCCTCCCTCCCGCACGCCGGGGGGACAAAGCGGGGGGACCCCCCTTCTCTCCCCCGTCCCCCGGGGGCGCGGCAGATGCGCGGCCGCCCGCGGTAATTGCGGGCACGCTCCGGAGGGCGCGGCGCACGGGGCCGACCTGCCGCCTCGGCGCGGCCCCGCGGGGCGGCCACGGGGCCATTGTCCGCCCGCCGCTATAAGAGCGGGCGGCCGCGCCGTCGTGTGCCAAAGCCGCCGCTCACACGAGCGGATCGCAGCCCGCAGCACTTCAAAGCCACGCGCGGTCGCGTGTCCCCCCGCCCCGCCTTTCCCCGGGCTTTGGCTTTTTTTTTTTCGCCTTTTTTTTTTTTCCTTTTTTTTTTTTTTTTTTTTTTTTTTTTTTTTTTTTTTTTTTTTTTTTTTTTTTTTTTTTTTTTTTTTTTTTACACGGCGCTGTGTCCCCTGCTTTTCCCAATAGCGGCCAGCTCGGCTCTTTCCTCTCTGTGTTTTTATACCGTTATTGCTTAACCGCATCCCCGGGAGTGCCTTTCCATGTGAGTACGGGAGCGCCGGCACCTGCCAAACACCCGCACAGCCATCCTCTTTCTTATATTTCGTTTGTTCCCTTGCCCCCCACCCCTTCCCCGCCAGCTTCGCACCTTCCCCTTCGCTCCCCCCTCCATCCTCCCCTGCCCCGCCTGGCAGTGACGGGGCTCCGGCTTCTCTCCCGCAGGATGCCCGCCGAGGCGCCCGGCAGCGGCGACGGCGCGGAGCCCGGCGCTCCGCGGGAGCGGCGGAGACGGCGCGGCCGTGCGCGGGCGCGGACCGAGGCGCTGCTGCACACGCTGAAGCGCAGCCGGCGGGTCAAGGCCAACGACCGGGAGCGGAACCGCATGCACCACCTCAACGCCGCCCTGGACGAGCTCCGCAGCGTCCTGCCCACCTTCCCCGACGATACCAAGCTCACCAAGATCGAGACCCTGCGCTTCGCCTACAACTACATCTGGGCCCTATCCGAGACCCTCCGCCTGGCCGAGCAGTGCCTCCCGCCGCCCCCCGCCTTCCGCGGGGCCGCCGCGCCCCCCAGCCCCGGCAGCGACGCGGGGTCCTGGCTGTCCAGCGCCTCCCCGTCCGCCCCTTCGCTCTGCGCCTCCGCCTCCGGCCCCAGCAGCCCCGCCACCTCCGAGGACTGCGCTTACGCGCCCGCCGACAGCCTAAGGGGCTTCCGCGGGCTGCCCGCCGGCCCGGGCGCGCCCCTCCGCTAGCGCGCACCGCCCGCGCCCCCCGCACCGCCCGGCGCTCGGCCCGGGCCGGCGGCGGAGGGGGGTGAGGGGGGGCCTCGTCCCGTTGCACTTTTCATCACTCTCCTTCCCCCCAGCCCCTTCCCCCCGACCCCCACCTCGCCTCCCGCGCCACTCCGAAAAACCGGGAAGAAGAAAAGCGACAGATTTGCTGCCGCAGACGAGGTGAAAAGTCAATTTTACAATTTGTAGCTCTCCGGCGAAGAAAAACGAGCATGAAAATTTGGTTTGAACGCCCTGACAATGCCATGAAAAGGCTTAAGGGGCCGATGCGGCCCGGGGCGCAGCGCGGGGCTCAGCGCGTCTCCCGGCCCTGCCCCGGGGCGGCTCAGCCCCTCCCGGGGGTCCCAGCACCGGCCCCGATGGGACCCCGCACCCGGCGGACACGGAGAGGCTCATGCATTATAGATGCTGACCCCCAGCGCGGCCGGCCTGCTTTAGAGTGGGAGCAGACACGGGGTATTCAGCGACTGGACCAGAGAGCGGTTTAATTTATTCAAGATGTTCATTCATATGAAAATTGTATTTTTGTACATAAAGAGCTTTATTCTATTATTATACCTCTTATCAAAGTGGGGGTTTTGTTTTGGTTTGGTTTTTTTAAGAAATCGTACTTTACCCTGTAAATAAAATTTTTAACGTTTGTACTGAATTTTGGCAGCGCCTCTGGAGTTTTGTTTCTGGAACTCGAGGGGTTCACTCCTCCGAAGCAGGCGGGGGTGGAAGGGAAGGGATCACCCCAAGGCAGCAGGCAGCACTTCTGACACCCCACTGGCCACAGGCACACGCGGCTACCTGCGAACATCTGCTGGCCCCAGGTGTCCCGGAGAGGGGATTAGAGCCCCGCTGGGGAGATGCAGCCGGGGAGCAGGAGCAGAGCGGTGACGCCAGCAGGGCCGGAGCTTCACAGCGACTCACAGCAGGAGCTGCGAGGTGTCAGGAGCTTTGGGGCAAGGAGAAGATGCTGAACCCCTGAGCAGGGTACAGAGTTTGTAACTCTCCCCGAACCTGTGACGCTGGCAGAACGTGACTGGCATGAGCTGCCTCTGTTCCTCCAGGCTCAAAGTGCGACAGGGGCTCTCCCAGTTCACTCCCAAGGCAGGGAAAGGAAAAAGAGCGGCCAAAGGTGCCAGCTCATGGTCTCGGCACCAGCTGTGGCACAGCTCTGGCACTCAGAGATTGAGGGCGTCAGGAGTACCCTCGTCTCCAGGAAATCTGCTCCACCATCGCAAAATCCCAAACTTTTCTTTCTCCTGCGATTGTGTGCAATGGGGGAGCCCTCTGTCCCCGAAATCTTACCTTCTACTCTTCCTGACTCCATCCTCCCTCTCTTTAGCGTTTCTCAATGTTCCCATATTGCACTGGGCACACAAACCCTTAAAAACAAGTTTTATCCTCTTTGCCTTGTTTTATGGGGAAAATGAGGCAGCTCAGACATGTCTCTGGAGCCATCTCCAAACATGGGTGAGCCAGAACTGTACTTGCAGTTAGCAGGGTGTTTATGGGGAAAGATGGAGAGATGGTGTTGTACAAACACAAATAAATCAGATCTCTGGTGGGACTGACATGGATTATGGAATGAATTGCCTTTCATTTTTCTGTGCCTCAGTTTCCCATCTGTAAAATTGGGATACCACCATCCCCTCATCAGTGAATTTAAGAATTTAATTACACAGAGCTTTCAAAGCACTCAGATGCTCAGGGCTGCAGTAAAAGCCCAGGAAGGAATTCTTTAGGACATGATCATACATGGTGTGGGGAAAAAGGCAGAGGGCAAACACTGAAAGCATCAGACAGAACACTGAAAAACTGTTCATGACACAGGCAAAAACTCTGCCTGAAAGCTAACCCTCCTGCGGGAGGAAGGTGGAGATATTATCAAAAACATAATTTGGGATCAAATAATTGTCACAAAAATTAGACAGAAGAGCTGAATTAAGTTTGCACAGATGCTTCAGCATCCGTATTTCCTCCTTTGTGAATGCCTGAGCCTGCAATATAAATAAATACTTCTTTAACACACTTTTCATATGCACATCCATACAGACACACATCCACCTCTGCTTCTCAGTAACTATAAATGCTGGAAAGTGTTATTTTTTTGAAATCCTAATAGTAGCATAATGCTTATATTAATTAAAGACACCATCAACCATTATTGGGCAGCTCCTTAATGATGTCCTGTTAAATAAAAGAGATTTTTGAAATCTAATTCTGGCAGTAACAGGTCTTAATCTGTGACGCAGTGAAGCTTTGCTTGCACCTGCCCTTGAAAGCCAGGAGGTTTTGTATGCAGGAGCCTCCAGGGGCTGAAATTTAGTACAGTCCATGGAGGCGGAAGGTCATCTAAAGTCACTGGGTCCCAAGACACTGGACTTCAATCTCAAAGAAGAAGAAAAAAAACTCCACAAAACTTCAAAATATCCTCTATTCTTTTGTGTTTTCTTAGCTGCCAGCAGAGATCTGTGAACATTATGCAGTATATAAAGACCATACATCTAGCAGGACTCAGTGTATGATGTTAATGTTCCTAATGGGCAATGAAAGCTGCAAATTGCGTGAGGACACAATTAGATTCATACATTAACATGAGTCAGAGAACAGTTTTTCCCCGGAGCGGTGATAGGTTCAGACATAGTTGAACAAATCTGCCGCCGGGACAGATGGAATGCCCATATTCAGAGGCTGCAGGACCAACCTGCACCCTCGGTTACAACAAGGGGGTTTGTATTTATTTTTATCAAAAGAATAGTTTGGTGAATTGGAACAGGCTTCCCCGGCTGGAAACAGGAGGCTATTTTTAATTGCACTAAAATTATCTCTTTGCATTAGCACAGGGGAAAAAAATACATGAATTAAATACTAGGGTTGATGAAAGCATTAGTGATTTTTTTTTAAATACCAGATTGTTCTGTGATAAAAAATATCAGTAAATAGGCAGCAGTCTCAGTCCCACTGAAACCAATGGCAAGATCCTTACTGACTTCAGAAATAACTGAAATAGAATCTTGATTTTTTAATCCTGGTACCACATTGCATGGGAGTATATGCATTTTTTCATATGTCTGCTGATAGGTGTCGGTAACACTTTAGCCCTGTTGGATCCATTCAGCCACCTCCAGGGCATGCAAACATTAGGGACCCTCTGCCAGGAGGTTCTGCAAGTCCTTAGGTCTCTCTTAATTCCCCTTTAGTTAGGAGAGAAAGTCTGAGATGGCTCCATTGATAGGGGATCCCTGCTGGCTGGGAGACATCCAGCACAGACTTTCTTGAGACACAGCTGGGATTATCCCACTTTCTCTCTGCTGGGATTTACTGTGGGGAAACATTCCCCTCCCAACTACAGGATGCTTGTGTGCTCTGATGAGAAGGGCCCACAGCAGCTGGAGCTACTCTGTTTCATCCTTTTCCAACGGATTTGAAGCTCTGAAGATTCTCTGTGAATTCCCTGTGCTCAACAAGTGAGTAAATAATTGCCAATGCAAAATTCTGTACAGGTTTTGGATTGAAAATACTTGCAGTTTTGGAACTACAAGTATTTTTTGTAGTTTCAATGCCATGTGGTGGACTACTTAGTGTCATACTTGTTGTGGTGAGGTTCAAATGATGCTTAGTGTTTCATTATGAACAACAGCATCCTCAGAAGGATTTTCATTATTGGGCCTCAATCTGTCATAGATTTTGATTTTACTCTGTACGTGATCTGTAAAATACAGTCTGCACTACCACCTCTGAGCTCATGAAACTTAATATTATAATTACAGATCTCTGCAGCTCAAATTCTCCATTAGGACTGATTTGTATAGTAAGTAGAGATTATCAGAGCAGAAGCAGGTGAGTACTAATTTTCAGGAGCTTTTTTTGTTGGTGGCATATGCAATTAGAAGAAGTCATCTGGAGGAGCAGAACTGCTAAGGACCAATCAGATTTGCTGTCAGCACTGTATATGAGCAGAACAGAAATGCAAAAACACTGCATAAATACTTTCAGCTGACACTTTGCCTCTTACTTGTATAGTCTTCAAATAACACTGCTAGAAGCTATTTAAGACTAGATTAACAAATTAAATGACTTGTTAGTACCAGATTTATGCCCAGTAGCCTGGTAGCAGTGCCCATGAAGAATTAATCCCTGTTCTCTCTTCCTCCTCAGCCAAAAAGCATAATGGTTTCTGTGAAGAGCTGCTGAAGACCCCGCAGATGTCACAGGGCCATGGCGAGGTAACAGATCCCTTGAAAAGCCCTGTGGGACCCAGCTTTGTTATTAACCCCCAGGGCAGTGAGGAGCAGAGGCTGCCATGCCCTGGGAGCAGGGCTGTCCCCATGCCCAGGTTCCTGTTCTCTCAAGAGACGTGGCAAAGGGCTCACGTGAGGCTCTGCTGCTGCAGACCAAGGCTCCACATGCCGAGCAATGCTCCTCCATTGTCATCACTATTATTTTTCACTTGTCAGTCTTCCAGTTTAAGATCCACTAGACAAGAGTGAAAAGACTCTTCCCTATGGATAATGCTCTTCTCTGCCAGCGTGGAAATGCTGATGGCACAGCACTCGTTGTTATTCAGGTCTCTCACTTTTGCTTCTATTTGACTGTGCAAAGCCTCTGTTAGAACCTCCTATCTTACTGCTAGAAAATCTTAAGGAACTCCTCTCATTTGAAAAGGAAAATGAAATATCACATTACAGAGGTTGGGACTGAGATGCCACCCTTCTCCATGCCATGTTTACGATTCCACAAGCACAAGAAATTCTTCTCACTCAGCTCCTACCCCATTTGTTTTACTTGTTGACTGCCAGTAGGACTTTGGCAAAGGTCAGTGGGATTTTGGCAAAGGTCAGTGGGATTTTGGCAAAGGTCAGTAGGATGGAGCACACAGCATAGCTCTGAAGAGAGTAAAAACTTGTGGAAGCAAGACTTTTAGAGAAGAGATTAACTTTATTATTTGAGTAATCATGAGTAAGAGTCCA